GGCTTCAGAAGTTTCAAAAACTGTTCTCACTAGAAACAAGTTACTGAGAGGAAAGAAGAAACATGATATCAGTTTACATCTTGATTTTATCAGTTTTTAGCATTTTTAATTCAGATTATATGAGTTATGGTAACACTTTAGAATAAGCTTTCATATATAACATTAGTTAACTACATTAGTTAACATAATGAACTGCACTTCTACAGCATTTATTAATCTTTGTTAATGTTCATTTCAGCATTTACTCATACATTATTAGAATCGAAAGTTGTATTTGTTAACATTAGTTAATGCACTGTGAAGTAACATGAACAAAAAATGAACAGCTGGATTTGTATTAGCTAATGTAAACAAAGATGAGCAAATACAGTGACAGATGTAGGCTATTGCTCACGGTTAGTTTGTGGTAGTTAATACATTAAATAATGTTAACAAATGAAACCTTATTGTAAAATAACCTATATTATTTGGGATAAGTTAAACTATTTAATATATTAATAATCATTTATTGATGTATATTAATCATGCAGCCCCTTTGTTAGTTTGCTGAGGGCCCCCAGGTTGAGAAGCACTTTTCTAGATCATTTTAGATGATCATTAGTGGCATAATAAAAGATCAAACTGGTGCAAACAAATGACCAGCAGCCGTCAGTCAGTCAGATGCCTATGGCCCTTTGTTCGTTTTGCAACCTCTGAAAATGTGGAAGTGACCTTGTTGACACGTAAAAGGATGTGTTCACATCCTCTTATGTGAGAGGATGATTTCATCTGGGCAACACAAACACAATCCCAGCAAACTTCCTATGTGAAGCAAAGAGCCATTTGAGGTGCGCAGACTATGAACCGAATAAGTGAAATGCAACCAGGGCCTTTGCCTGAAGTACATTATCAGCAAAGTGTTCAAAATGTGGATGTTTTGATTCTAAAAAACAAGCATGAAATTCAGTTTTAGCCATTGTACCCAGCATTATTTGAGTGAACAAAACAGCACAATATACCACATTACAACTTTTTGAGACTTTTAAACAGATGCATTATGAAACGGGGACAGTACGAACACTGGACACTAAATTCCATATTTAAGATAACCTCAAATCCTAACAGCATGTCTGATGGGATGCTCCATTCATCTCAGCTGATTCACGTTCCCACTGTGACCTAGCATGAAGGTTCATCTCAGCTACTGTAGCTCCTTCTCCTGATCATATTTCCAACAGCCCTGTACAGGAAGGTTGCTCCCGAGCTTTGCCGAGGAAACAGGTGTTTCTCCATTGTTGTGGTGCGATCGGCCACTGTGATAGACTCCCACACCGCGAGGGGGTCGACGCTCATTGTGTGGAGTCTCTGATTGATGGGGACCAATATCCCCAATGCGCCTTCTCCTGTGAGCCTAGAGTCTTCTCATCCACATCCCTCCCTCCCACAACAATAAGGCCAAACTCCCCCCGCTGTGATCGTTTTAGGAAATAACAGCAGTCGAACAATGGTGACAACATTCAACGGTAAGTGCTTCCTTTTTATATGCTGCCGCCGACACAGTGGCCCGGTTGAGCAGATACAGTAGGATGCAGGGGATCTATCGCAGAGCAATATTTACCAGAACCAGGATGCTGATTTGCTCCTGTCTAGGCGGAAATGAGGAACTCTATTCTTTCCTTTTTAGCCTCTATTGGTACCTGTGGGAACTTTACACTCACCTCAGTTTGAGAGCATGTTGTATTGTGAACAACAGTGAACTGAGGGGTTAGTGTGCTGTATAAAACAAGGAAACAAGCAAATTCATTGTGGGGGGAAAAAAAAACGTGTCTAAATTTGTCAATTAAAATAGAATTTTGCTTAGTAATAACATTTTCTACATTGTTTAGTTTTTGCTGCTTTGCATATTAAACCCTTTGAATATTTTGTATACATTTTGTGCACAGTAGTGGGCAAAAGTGACGGGCATTGTTTTGGGGTTGTTTTTTTAATGACCCTACAAGTTTGATAAAACCTTCAAAATACGAGGAAAATATAATATTTATATATATTGTTCTTCCCACATAAAATATAAATATATAAATGTATTTATCTGACAGAATTATTTGAGAAAAAAGGGGGTAAATTACAGTTACAGGTTTTATTTTTCTATGAAAAAAAAAAAAAAAGTATACATTGACAACAACATAATCAGGTTTTAAAATTGCTCTTTTTTTTGCATGTGTTCATAATCTTTTTGTATGACAGCCTGGACAAAAATTATGTCAGCACAACAACAACAACAACAAAAAAATGCAATATGCTTACAAATTCTCTAACACATTTTTAATAAATTTGAATAAAGGGTGAGGATGTCAATTTTCTTAGGCTGGACATCACTTTTGGCCACTACTGTATGTCTAATGTGTACTGTATATGATGTTTAATATCTTTTCTTTTAATTATATATATATATTATTTTTACAGAAAGATGATGAAAAATAACTTTAGAAAGATCTGAATACCTATTTATTCATATGGATGTTATTTTTACCAAGTAAAATTATGGACATCCCCATATTGTGAAATTTACAAGTGCCCGTCTAAAGATGTAATACTGTGTACATATTTCGAATTTACACTCTATTATTGTTCTGTATCCAGTCTGTTTGAACAGAATTTCTGTGTTCTGAGTTTCTTTTATCATGAATAACCGATATGATTCAGTCATAAGCAGCTTGCGTATTTGATTCTAGTCGTGTATAGGATGTGGATAATTAAGTGTGCCAGTGGAATATAAATATATGTAGAATAAATAAAGCACATTCTATATTTGGAAAGGATCACATTTTGTCCATGCCAGGTGTGCGAGTTCACAGGTAAAAACAGTGAGGAATATGAAATTGATAGAAAAGATATGAACCCTGCTGTCATATACAAACAGGAAGAGGTTTAACACAAAACAACTTTAGCATGTCTTTCATGTCAGACATAACCAACGCCTATGTCTGATAATGAAGGAGTTACTTTCACTCCAAATTATGACTCAAAATTAACGAATTCTGAACATAGAGGATCTGGCTGACAAAAACATGTATTATGGCAGCCATTTAAACAGAGACAAGTTTAATGTAAAAATTGCATGTATATAATCGCTGTGCCTGAATATGGCTTTCGGGAATCTGCTTTAGAACAATACATTACTCTATAACTTCCATACAGTCTGAGCACAGATATGTTTTTGTCCAGTGACATTTTACAGGCTGACCACAGTGTTTAAAAGCAATGATACACACACTGATGATCGTCACCACTGAAACTTTCATCCAGTTTCATTTCCACAGTCTAGTTGCACAATCTTTGGCCCTCCAGCAGACTTTAGATTAAAGGGACAGTTCACCCAAAGATGAAAGTTCTGTCATCATTGTTGTTCCAAACCTGTGTTCTGCTGAACACAAAATAAGATATTTTGAAGAATGTCAGTAACCAAACAGTTGATGGACCCCATTGACTTCCAAAGTATATTCTTCAAAATATATTATTTTATGTTCAGCAGAAGAAAGAAATTCCTACATGTTTGGAACAACTTGAGGGTGAGTAAATGATGACACAATTTTAATTTTTGGGAACTATCCCTTTAACTGGAATTTAAGCTTGGCCAATGATCTGTTAGTGAAGAACCTGTTATTTTACTGAAGTGGATGTTTGTCACAAGAAATTACTTTTTTTTTTTTGTATTCATTTCTGTTGTACTGTAATGAAACATTTACAAATATGCTAAATCAATTTATCTGTTAGTTGAAATGAACCAAACCCACCTTCCCAGTGAACAGTAACATATTTTGACATTCCTGTCTCTTAAGTTGCTGATGGACAAGCACATGAATGCCTAAAAAAACGTCCTTATGTAGGCTATGTATTATTAGAGTTTCTGTCGGATGCTGTTTATGCATGAAAAGGAGAAGTATCTCACTACTTTGAAAACTGTACTCAACCAAAACACTGAAGGCCTCTTGCAGAGTGACTTTGTACTTTCTTTCTGAGTGCTTTGGCACCAATGAAAATAAATATATCATTTGAATATTATAGACAGTATTAAATAGAAAACTAATTTGCAAGTAAAATGATTTCACAAGTAAAGTACATACATATCCCCTTTTTCAGCTGCATGTATACATATCAGACCCTTGAACTTAGAGGCTTTTCCTCCATCGTTTTTTGAAAATATGTGTGCAGTGCATCACATGAATGCATCAAATACTATGAGTTCTTCAGTGCAATCAGTCTCTAACAGAATCCAAAGCACATTAATCTACAGAGCTAAAACATCAGCTGTACTTGTGGGTTTGTCTACATCTTACAACCAATCGATATACTGCACATATGTATGAATGCAAATATTTTCAAATGTTGTTATTCAATGTCATATACACCCCCCACATAATCTTAATGAATCTTCTGTGAGAAGTAGAACGACTTCTTTTAGTCTGTTGCATGAATGTGATAAGATCTCAGACGTATAGCTGCTGTTTTTACATCTGACCGTTCACCACAGAGGAAGACAGAAAAAGATTGCTTTAAGCGCTAAAATTCTGCATTGTTTGAGTAATAGAATCACGTAAAGTAACACAACAGGACAGCAATGTTGTCATATCCCTACATGGCTGCATTATTGTGTTGCATACAGGTAGATGAATATCATTCAACAGTATACGGTTCAGAACAGCTGTCCTGCATGCCCCAGTGCACAGAATCAGTGAATAGTAAAGTTTCCATCTGACATCCTCAGCTGAGCATCCTCTGTCTTTAAAAAACTAAATTTAAAGGGTCTTGGATCAATGCGGGTCTTCACTTGTGAACATTTGAGCTGGTACATGCAAAGATCCTGGGCTGGCTAAAGTAAATCATGAGCAAGCTTGAATTCACCTGCACACCGTCATGATCAATGACTTGAACTTATCCTGAGTTTTATTCTTTTCCTATATGCTATATTGAGCTCAGATTTAACCATCATGATATGGGAATGCACCACAGGAATCGCTTACCTGGAGTTGTTAGCCTCTACCCATGATTTCTTTGCCTCTTGTCAGCATGCGGGGTGAGATGGAACCAGTGTCCTCGAAGCGTAATCCAGCACTTAAGATGAAAAGAGATGGAAATGTAACCACATCCTTCAGCATCAGCCTACATAGACGCTGAAATGATGGCAGCAACAACAGGAGCAGTCTTCAGCACGACTGTGGCGCTTTACTGAAACTAAACAGGAACTCAGAGAGAGAAGGTGCAGAAGAACTCAAAGAGGAAGACATGGGCTACATGTGTTCATGAGTGGGAGGAGGTTTAACTTACACACACACGGCTTTTGTTCTTTGACAGATGCCTTCGTTTTTATTAATGCCATGGATGGCAATTTGCCGTAAATGGCAAGCTGATCTTAGAAATGACAGCTTTTGTTGAGAATACAGAAAAATAATTTTAAACTGGCATGTAGATATGTTTAAAATGTTCTCAAACATAAGAGTATAGGCCTACCCACAATATCAAAATAATTTGTTTTCTTTTTCAAATTTAACGTTAAAAAGGTAACTTAGGTTCTTCTTCATGACTTGTTACTAGTTGTATTGTCTGAATAACATTTGAATAATAAAATGGCATGGTGTGTTTTTTTTCCAGACTTTTCTCTAAAGTCTAACTGCCGACTCAGCCTCTATACTCAGAGTAAGATCAAATCTTAACTTCCCCCGAGGGCAACATTTGCATTTTATACAGTAAGAATGTCTCAGTCACTCTCTGTCTCTTCCCTTCTCAAAAATCACACAGCACTCATTGGAACACATTGAATAGTGCGTGGTTGTTCTAAAGAAGGAACTATAACCCTTCCAATCAGAAGGATCATGACAGGAACCTTAGAATTCTAAGTTAGAATATGCAATGAAATCCACAATAGCAAAATATAGGCCTGTGACACTTGTTTAATGGGAGATAGGTTAGGAATGGATGAGCTTGGCTAGGTGGAAAATGAAATACTGCCATCTAGTGGTTATTTGTAAATTATCAAAAACCCGTAAGACATTCTGTGAACTTCCTCAAATGAAAGCCAGAAATAGCCTATAGCCTAGGCTACGTAGCATATAGGCCTATACGGAAAAGTCTGTAGGCCTATTCGTTTGTAGCCTATTAAATGAACGAAGGCCTATTTGTAAACGACTTAAAGGAGTGTTTAAGTCAGCTGTTTAATAATATAAATCACTTTAAAATAACTCTGATAATATGATCTCTGGTCTTATTCACATTCACATGTATAATCGATATGAATTTTCAGACTTTAAACGCATTGACACCCATATGCTATTTGCGCATGCGTCTTGCCGCCAAATGGCATGTTACCAATTTAGTTCACGATGCTTTTGAGAAACGCAGCACTGTTCAGTTCCCATCTCGAATCAACCATCCAAATTCAGGCGAAGCTTGACTGACGTCGCTAATAGAGATAACAAGTGAATTTGAATGCCCGTTTGATTTCATTGATCATAGAGCTGAACATTGTTATTCCTGAAATGTTTCGAGCCGCTAGTTGGAGCATTTAACCTGTGCCCTTGATACAATTGAGACAACTTTTATTTAAAATAATCAATTCATTATAGCCTACTGCAATCAGCCTAGAAAGTGGCTCAGAGTGATCTTTCTAACCCAACAAAGAGTAGGCCTAGGGCCCAGTGGCGCAGATAGGATTTTTTAACTGGGGGGGACCAAGCTGTCAACAAATGATTTAAACTCAATTCGTTATTTTGCGTAATTTGGGCTTTAACTAGTGCTCAAGTAGTTTCTTTTCTTTATGTAATTTGGGCTAATGATTTGAACTAAAAAGCCATTGGGGGGTTCCTGTTTGAAATCATGGATAAACAACAATGAACAAAGGTAAACAAAGGCCTGATAGTATGCCAATCAACCACCAAATCTTCATGTCTTCAGCAAAGTATGTTTTATTTAAACATTTGCTTATCTCAGCATACAAAGTCTATCATTATGAACAAAAAAGCAAAGAACCTATGTGCAAAAAATACAAATAAAATAAAAACAACATATTTTCTACTGGCTGCCCTCCTGCAGATCCTCACTTGACTGACTAGGGCCTGCCTTACTGTCATCAGAAATCGCCTGCAGGCCAGGAGGACAACAGTTTAAATCTTATAATTTCAGTTAACCCTCTATACCTCTATAGAATGTGAATATCAATGTGAAATACAATATATTCCTGAGAATTAATGGCTAAAACTACTATTTCCAAAATGTCTAAGAATAACTAAAAAAATTAAATTTAAGTGTTAATTACAATTTTGTTACAATTTATAGATTAGAAATATCTTTCAAATGATGTATGATATTAAGAAATGTTTTTCATAGCCCATAATTTAAGAATCTATTTCCTCCGTTGCTCCGTACAATAAAAAAAAACATGATTTCCTGCTATAAGGCAGCTACTAGCTCCTCATAGGACCCTGGCGACGTCACTCAGGAGGAGTCGTAGCACACACACACACAGAGAAAGAGTGTAAACGTCGGTGGCATGAAGGCATCGTGTGTTTATTGACAACAGAACAGCATGTAGTGAGAACGTGGGTACAAAGTAATGGTGACCGGTGTAGATCAGCCTGCGTCTGCCCCGACCCGATTCTGAAGCAGCGGCGGGCCGGGACACTCTACTTTGGCTAATGTACATATAGCGAAAACATTGGTTAATCCTCTGTTTTACCGATTTTTGTCACCTTTTGTAGGGATAGTGAGGGGGGGACGGATCGGGTCACTATAAATCTGGGGGGGTCATGTCCCCCCCGTCCCCAGTGCCATCTGCGCCCTTGCTAGGGCCTATAGTCCAGCCTAAAAGCAGTTCTATTCAACATTCTTAAAAAATAACGGTTATTTAGCCTACTGTGTAATTCCATGAAAACCCTTAAACATCCATGGAACCTTTATGTTGCACAAAAGTTTCTTTATACTGGAAATTATATTCTTTACGCAAATAAAAAATAGTTATTTTCGGAACTTTTCTCTGAAAGGTTCTTTAGGGAACCAAAATTGGTTCTTCTATGGCATCACTGCGAAAAGCCCCTTTTGGAACCTTTATTTTTAAGAGGTCATAATCCCACTCAAAAAAACAAACAAACAAGTAAACCAAGAAAAAACATAAAATAGGAGGGTAGGCCTATTGTATTTGCATAACCTATTGCCTGCACATTGTAGAGGATTCAGAACATTATTTCGATGTATCGAAGTTATAGGTAAGCTATATCGCGGAGTTATCTGGCACCACATCCTGTTGAGGTTACTATAGCAACGGCAGACCGCTCGTGTGCTTTTCATTGGATGTGTAGCTTATCCATTCAGGATGAGTAGCAGCTACATCGAAAATATTATTGTGTCTTTTCTTTTATTTTATTTTCAGAGATATAAAATTTGCATAGGTAGGAAATTTGCATAGGTCAATTGCGACAATATTTTTTTAAAACACTGGATAATGTAGCCAATATGTCACACAAATATGCTTATAAAATATATGCGCTGTAAAAAAAATCACAAATACAGTAGGCTAAATAATGCAACAAAGACCATATGGGTCTGTATAATTAGAATGTATTTAGTAAAAGCAATGTTTTATGGTAATCTTATGGCATTGGCTTTCCTCCTTAAGCGTGTGTGTATTGAGTGAGAAAGGATTCCCAGCGAGCAAACAGTCGTCTATAATACGTCTAAAAGACGTAATTGTTAGACATCCAAAAGACGTCCTCACAGGAGCCAGAATGAAAGTTTTTTATACGTCTTTTAAGGACGTTGTTTAGACGTCAATTAAAGACGTGCTACAGACGTAATTGTTAGACATCCAGAAGACGTCCTCACAGGAGCCAGAATGAAAGTTTTTTATACGTCTTTTCTGGACGTTGTTTAGACGTCAATTAAAGACGTGCTACAGACGTAATTTTTAAACATCAAGAAGACGTCATCACAGGAGCCAGAATGAAAGTTTTTTATACGTCTTTTCTGGACATTGTATAGACGTAAATTAAAGACGTGCTACAGACGTAATTGTTAGACATCCAGAAGACGTCTTTACAGGAGCCAGAATGAAAGTTTTTTATAAGTCTTTTCTGGACATTGTATAGACGTAAATTAAAGACGTGCTACGGACGTAATTGTTAGACATCCAGAAGACGTCTTTACAGGAGCCAGAATGAAAGTTTTTTATACGTCTTTTCTGGACATTGTATAGACGTAAATTAAAGACGTGCTACAGACGTAATTGTTAGACATCCAGAAGACGTCTTCACAGGAGCCAGAATGAAAGGTTTTTATACGTCTTTTCTGGACGTTGTTTAGACGTAAATTAAAGACGTGCTACAGACGTAATTGTTAGACATCCAGAAGACGTCCTCACAGGAGCCAGAATGAAAGTTTTTTATACGTCTTTTCAGGACGTTGTTTAGACGTCAATTAAAGACGTGCTACAGACGTAATTGTTAGACATCCAGAAGACGTCCTCACAGGAGCCAGAATGAAAGTTTTTTATACGTCTTTTCTGGACGTTGTTTAGACGTCAATTAAAGACGTGCTACAGACGTAATTTTTAAACATCCAGAAGACGTCCTCACAGGAGCCAGAATGAAAGTTTTTTATACGTCTTTTCTGGACATTGTATAGACGTAAATTAAAGACGTGCTACAGACGTAATTGTTAGACATCCAGAAGACGTCTTTACAGGAGCCAGAATGAAAGTTTTTTATACGTCTTTTCTGGACATTGTATAGACGTAAATTAAAGACGTGCTACAGACGTAATTGCTAGACATCCAGAAGACGTCTTTACAGGAGCCAGAATGAAAGTTTTTTATACGTCTTTTCTGGACATTGTATAGACGTAAATTAAAGACGTGCTACAGACGTAATTGTTAGACATCCAGAAGACGTCTTCACAGGAGCCAGAATGCAAGGTTTTTATACGTCTTTTCTGGACGTTGTTTAGACGTAAATTAAAGACGTGCTACAGACGTAATTGTTAGACATCCAGAAGACGTCTTCACAGGAGCCAGAATGAAAGGTTTTTATACGTCTTTTCAGGACATTGTTTAGACGTAAATTAAAGACGTGCTACAGACGTAATTGTTAGACATCCAGAAGACGTCTTCACAGGAGCCAGAATGAACGTTTTTTATAAAAAAAATTTGGACATTGTTTAGACGTCAATTAAAGACATGCTACAGACGTAATTGTTAGACATCTAAAGGCAGC